TTATATAAAACACTTTCTTTTTAATTTTTAACATTTTTGTCTATAGCCTATTCCGTTTTCCTATCTCTACCCAGATAATTTATTATACTTTCAGGTATTATTTGCTTATTAAAACTCTTATCAATTCCCATACTCACAATTATCTTTGCACAGAGATTAACTGCACTAATTGTAATACATTTTCAACTTAAACATTTTATATATATCATTTATATTATATTCAAAGACCAGACACACCTTCTATTAAAATTTTCAATTAAATGCCCTTTATATCAAACATATTCCCTAGAAGAGAAATTACTTTATGAACTTCCCTAACTTCAACAGCCTTTTCATTGTAAAGCCAATGATGCTAATGCACTACATCAATTAACGTCTGATATGGCGAAAAAAATCGAATTGTAAATGCAAAAACAATCACATTAGTCGATTTCAAGGCCATAGACCCCTGGCTGGGTTGGCTGGAATTCTCCATAATCGTGCGAAGCACTCAACAAAATTTCAAACAATTTAATCTTAAAGTCTCGTTTAGAAACTGTTTTCAATTGTCGCTCTCTCTCACTCACACTCACTATCTCTCTCTCTCTCTCTCTTTCGCTCTCGCTTGGGTGTTGCGCAGCAGCGAACTAATTATAAAACGGATGACCAGCAGTAGTCCTTGGGGATCGCAGCTAGTGGTGGCAGTCGAGGGGAGCGAAGAGTGCGAGAGAGAGGGCGTGGCAGCTCTTTGTGTTTAAGGTCCGCAGCCGAAAGGACAGATAAATGCGACGGTCTAAGAGTATTTTGCATAATTGTTGACCCAGAAAGTCGCAAGAAAGCAACAACAACAAAACAGCGAACGAAAAGGAAAAAAAAAGAGCACAGCGAAAAATTTGTAATTTCTCTGTGCGGCTTTTCGTTGCTGTTGTTGTTGCAAGGATATTTTTTTGTTCGCCTTTGCGTTGTTTTAGTGTGCTCCTTTTTGGGGCGCCACCGCTGATTTGTAATTAGGAAACGGCCGCCAACTGTCGCCGTCTCTTTTCGGCTGCAGCCACGTCCCATTTGCACCGCAACGGCCGCGGGGCATTAGCGAACGTTAAATACCCAAGTGCCATCTGTTGTGGAGCCCCTCTCCTCCTGCCGCACCTGCCGCAGCGCCAAAATTAAATGAATGAAAAGTGCTAGAAGAAAAGTGTAAAGCAATGACGCCCCATTCCCAGCGGACATTTGAGCCAAGTAGTGCAAAGGCAACGCCACTTTGCGGCTTTTAAGGCGTGAAGGAGAGAGAGGCTAACAGAGACAGAGAGAGGAGGAGAGAGATAGAGGCGTAGACCAGCCAAGGCTCCAGAAAGTTGTGCGTGGTGAAAGTTTATTAAAATTGTAAATTCCCTTTTAATATTTTCCTTTGACTTGGGCCCATCTTCAAGACAATCTGGCGCGCAAGGAAATGCACAAAATTGAAATTATTTCATGTCCGGTGTCGCCATTTTGCCTTCCGTTTGGGCACCCTTTTCGCATTTGTTCCCCTTTTTTCTGTTTAAATGCCAAACTTTAATGCCATTGCCTTTGCCATTGATACAGAACTTAATTCTCTTATTTTCGGTGCGACGGAAATTCGTTATCCTGTTCAGCGACCTTCGTCGCAGGCTCGTTGTCCTTGCCCATGGTCCAGCCTGTGCGCTCTTGCTTGTTTCCGTTCCGTTTCGCATTATATTTTGGCCCGATAAAGGCTGGGCAGTATTTTGGCTCACTTTTCAAAGTTTCTTTTATTTATTTTATTGCCATTCGGCGGTGATTTATGTGAGGCATTTCACATTGGGGCCTGTCAAAAATGGGAGATAGAGAGTGCAGATATTCTTAATTTTTCGCAACACAATGCAATACCTATGTCAATTTATGCCACGTCTGATATTTTGTAGAATTTTAAGCTGAATGATAATTTGTCTCATCTATATGACTGGGTAGCCAATCTCTTTCGTGCTCAAGTTTGGCTCTCAAGTTTACAGCCCTCTATTCATTTAGTAAAGCCGCAAATCCTTGCAGCCTCTCACGAAAAACATATTTTTGTTGCCGGCTTTCCACAAAACGAAAATCTCTTTCAAACCGCACACAAAGCGCTCAACTAACACTGACATCCAAAAGTTTTCCGCCCAGGTGCCGAAGCGGGGAACGTTTTCTGGTCGTGGCTGTAAGAAGCTTGGCACTCGCCGCTTTTCCGGATTTACCATCCACAGGCATTGGCTCAACCTCTCACAGGCCCGCACCCTGCCCTCTCGCCTGTCCGCCCACGACGGCTTCTTGAGCTGCATTTCAATGCCTCTCACCTTGTGCGAGTAGTCGACGTCCATAATGGGGGCCATTGATTGCATTCAAGCGCCAGATGGAAGCTTGCACACGGAAGTCAGATTAGTAGTGAAAGGCAATAATGAAATCAAAATGTGAATGCACTTTGCATTTCCTACTCAGTTTGACCCTGTTTGAAGTACAAGGAAGTAGACGCGCTAGTCGGTCACCGCTCGGCTTGCCAGCTAACCAGCTTCCTTTTGGCCTGAATGTGCACTCATTAGATCTCATTTTGAAAATGATGTGGCCTCTGCGCAGCTTATTCCAGCATCTGAATGCGACGTGCCAAAGTTGAGGATGTGGCGCCTGGCGATGCGAGCACGATTTAAATGCAGCTCTTGAAACTTGACGACTCTACGGCTTGGTAATGTTAGAGATGTACATATTTATGATATATATATGTGAGATGTATCCTTTCACTCTCCTTTATATAGTACATACATATACGAATTCCCAACTAGCAGCTATTGGGCTTTACAGCAACTCTTATCTTTTGTTCAAATGGCAATTTCTCGACTACGATTGTGTCTGTTGTTCTATTTACGAGTTCGCAATTAATTTAAACTTTTCAGTTCCCAGTTCTTTTCTTGAATTTTTCAATTAAACTGCTTCCATTACACTCAATCAATCTAGTCGGCCGACCATTCGCTCAAAACAAGCGCTTAGGCTCTAGGCTAGAAGCCGACAATACTTATACCCTAAAAGCTGCAGCTTATGGCGGAATGTAGATGGATAAGCCGTCGTCTGTCTGAGTTCGTCATGCCATGAATATACTCTACTTGAAGCTGACATGCTCTGCTGCGCTGTGTTAATAGAAATTTCGAATGCATCCGTTTGACAATGCTCGACCTTGTTGCAGAGCATCGATTCTATCCCAATTACCTGAGGACCTTGGCCCAATCGGGGCAATGTCTACATACATATCCAGTATATAGTATGTGTATATATGTATATTTTATACACGCATACTGTCACCTGCACTCACATACATACATCTGTATGTATGCATATGCGTAGTATTTACAAGCTTCCGGAAGGAGGTTAAATCGACATTCAAGCCGATGAATTCCTACCTGTGTTCTGGCACGTACCTGTGTACTGTATACATAGGTACATATGTATGTAAGTGCGTGTTTGCTGGAAGCATTATTAAAGATGACTCAATGCCGTGCATGGAAAATTAGAGTAGGTTTGCTATACATTCAAGCAATCGATGGATTTGTAAACATATTCGTTTTTGGTAGTATATAAGCTATAATGTAGTATTTGTGTATATTTATGTAAGTCTGACAAATTGCACCTCTTGATTTTAGGTATGGTAAAATATGTCTAGCTCTTGCGATAGGCTTATGCAAATATCGCTAGACTGTGTCTGCATGCCTGTGCAACTCTTCTTTACGATATGTACAAAAATATCGATAGTTCTTATTACGAATAAAAAATACACTGAAAATGAACAAGGTTAGATAATTACTATTAAAACAATAAACATAAATAAGTTACTTGTAAGCAAGTTTTTACCAACTTAAGAAATCGTAAGTTTATAATGTAATATAATATAAATGGAAGCGTCGCTTAACAGATGTTTTTTTTTAGATTATTATGGCTGGAAACTTACGCGATCTTAAGGTGGAGGCAGTGACGAATACTTTCATAGCTACACCTTTTAAGCCCCCGCTCGAGTGGTACATCCATGGGCTTAACGAAAACCTAGGCAGCCGAGGCCGGTCGCCCGCTTTCATAGGTGTACAAAATCATGATGTGGGTGAATTCGTGGCACAGATTGATGTTGATCTCGAGACGCAGCGCAACATTACGAAAGCCACATTGAACACGATCAGAGAGTCGACTGCAGCTCCTGCCAACTGCCTGATGAAGCTGGCCTGCAACATAAACATCGTGGATATCACACGCCGCCTTCTGACGACCGCCGTCGAGAGCTGTGACCTAGGCATCAAGGTCGATGAGGACTCAGTCTACACCATGGCCCACAAACTGGCCGAGGCAATGCACTGCCCGCTCGAGCAGCGCGGCAGCAGCGTCGACTCGGTCATCTTCAGCCTGGTCCCAGCCATAGCCGTGCAGCGCGAGACGGGCCGTGTGCTGGCCTATGCTGTGGGTCAGCTGGTGGCACGTGGCAAAAAGAATGCTCAAATGACCATGGTCGTGCGAGGCTTTGCCCCAAGCGCACAATCGCGACAAATTATCATCGAGTCCGTATCCCAGTCGCTACTGCCCATCAGTGAAGTCTCTATTTAAGAGAGGTATTCAATTTGTCTAAGTACGCCTCGACATAGCTGAAATGTATTTGAAGTTTAAAGTGATTTGGAATAATCTGTACCTCATATTAGTTATGTATGTGTAAAATGCTTGCTTGAAAGTTTTCTGAAGTCTTCTAATAGATAAGCTATATATATTTTTTAAGAAAAATCTATATTAAGTTTAAATATTTAAATGTAATGATTTTTTTTTTTTTTTTTTTTTTTTTTTTTTTTTTTTTTTTTTTTTTTGTGAGCACTTGTGCGAAATTTCATGTTTATATCTGAAGTATTAATGTAAAATATTAAATTTATTTTATTATTATTTTTTCTATAAAGGTATGTAAAATTCCATATTTAATAAATATGAAATTTTCAAACGTTAGCATAATGGCATTCAATAATAAAAGCTGAGCTCTTGATTTATATTCTTTTACAACTAAAATTCCGAATTATTCGACCCTTAAGCGCTGAGAAGTTAAAGAGTAACAGAACTTACTCAAAACTTACCTTTCCTCAAGTATGTAGAGCAACTTACCAATTGATCTGTGAATTTATATTCCATTTACGCTCTCCACGCTTTCCACTGTTACAGCAACTGTAAAATGCCAAGAGTCAAGGCTCAAATAGATTTCACTCCATTTTTCCAGTCTCATTGCTCCAATCATAAATATATTTGTTTAAAATAACGGCATGCCAATCAGGATATGAAAAATGATTTCTTTGTTTGTTAGTTAATTATTCAGATTATTATTTATTCAATGCAATAAATTTTCTCTGTTGAGAGTTTTCACATAGTTTATTTTCGTTTACATATATAAGTACGTTGTTTTTCTTTTGTTGCTGCAATTAGTTGGTACTTAACGGTAATTTCGCTATATGTTCGCACATAACTGCATATGTATATGTATAGTGGTGTATATGTATTATTTTAATTTTGTTAAAATTTATCGTTTCGTATTATGCATTCGCGCTCTATTGGCATATATATATATATAAGTATGTTATATTTACAGTTAAGTAGATTTAACGTTTTTGCTAATGCAGTTTTTTTCGTATTGATTTTTTTTTATAATTATTTTTTGTTTTTGCATTGCTCTTGCCATGCTTCGATTAGGGCGTCAGACGATTATTAAGTTAATTAGTTTAATTAAGTAGATGTGACTAAGCTGGCCTCGAGTCACATTTTAATTAATTTTATGAAAAACACTTAAGGACTTAGAAATGTATTTTGATTTCGTTTTATAGTTAATTATATATATATTTATATATATATATATATATTCGCTATACCATCGACTTGACTTACGGTCTAAAATGCATGGCTCAACATTGAAGTGGGTGTTGGATTAAATAGTTAGCTATTTAAGTTGAGAGGGGAGTTCAATTAAAGGGAATTATAATCGAGGCGTGAAAGGCGGAGACTTTCCTGCAGCTCAAAGACGGCTGACCGCAGAGACCGCAAACATTTGATACGTGTTTATTTGCAGAGGCCTTGAAAGGAGTGTGAAGTATGAAAGGCGAGCAGCAACAAAAATCACGATTCGATGAATGAAGTGAGGATGAGAGCGTGGGAGACTGGGAGAGTTGCGTGGCCCCACGGGCTGTTCACCACAGTGTTGTTGCCTCATTTAGTTGCAGCTGCTTGCAGTTGGATTTTATTAATGAGCGACAGGCTGGTTACTCATACGCCCCGTGATGACAACTGCCAGCCGATGCGCATTGTATATAAGTGTGTGCGTGTGTGTGTGTGTGTGTTTATTTGCATTGCATATAATGAATGTATACTCGATTATTTGGACTTTAAGTTCGTGTGCAGCGGCTAATTGCAATAAAGCGTTTAATTGTTTTTTTCCGCGCATTAACTTGTTGGCTTTCTTTTTCGCACTCGCAATTGCTGCGTGTAAAATCCAAATAAAAGACACATTTCCTTGCATTCATATTAAATTGGGAATTTTTATGGATCCGTGTTGTTATTGTATGGCTCGTGCATGTACATAAATATCGTGTTATGTTTTACTTCTCTTTTGCACAATTATAAAATGACGTAAATAAATCGAAATCGATGCAATTCGCCTGCTGCTTCATACACAATGAACTCTGCACTCTCTATAAATTTTACGAGATTTTCTGGCTGTTGTTTCATAACATTTTAAATGCAATTTATAAGTATTTCGAATACTCCGCGCTTAACTCTTGTGTGCTACACATACAATATATCTATATATATATGGAATTTGTAATATTTTTTATTCCATTATAATCAATTAATTTACATGCTTGCTATACACATACCAGCATAGAGTTGTTTTCATTTTTTTTATGTACACTTATCTTAATGCTAACATACAAATTGATGTGAGTCTCTCAATCAAT